GCTGATGGGCACTTAGGCTGTTTCCAAATCTTAGCTATTGTAAATTGTGCTGCTATGAACATAAGGGTGCACATGTCCTTTCTGATTGGTATTTCTGTTTTCTTGGGATATATTCCTAGAAGTAGGATTACTGGGTCATATGGAAGTTCCATTTTTAATTTTTTGAGGAAACTCCATACTGTTCTCCACAGTGGCTGCACCAATCTGCATTCCCACCAGCAGTGAAGGAGGGTTCCTTTTTCTCCGCATCTTCTCCAGCACTTGTCATTTGTTGACTTGTTGATGATAGCCATTCTGATAGGTGTGAGATGGTACTTCATTGTCGTTTTGATTTGCATCTCTCAGATGATTAGTGACTTTGAGCATGTTTTCATATGTCTCTGGCCTTCTGTATGTCCTCTTTAGAAAAGTGTCTATTTAGGTCCTTTGCCCTTTTTTGATTGGATTGTTTATCTTCCTTTTGTTAAGTTATATGAATTCCCTATAAATTTTGGAGATTAAACCCTTATTGGAGCCTTCTCACCTTTTAAGAAAGGGGTGCAGGCAGGCTCTTGGCTCCCAGATTCTGTTTCAATTCTTTTATAAATAAAATAACCTTTTTTTGTAAAGAGCCCGATATAAATATTTTAGGGTTTGCAGGCAGTATGGTCTCTGTTGTAACTCTTCAACTCAGCTTTTGAGGCATGTAAGCAGCCAGAGACAACACGTAAAAAACAAACGATCTGTGTTCAAATAAAACTTTATTTACGGAAATGGAAAGTTGAACTTCACTTAATTTTCACACAGCATAAAATTTTATTCTTGTTTTGGAGTTTTTCTTCCAATGATTTAAAAGTGTAAACACTGACCATGGCTCATGGATTGTACAAAAACTGGCAGCAGGCCGGGTGAGGCCCTGGGGCTGGAGTTTGCAGCCTTGAAATGGAAGGAGTTCACTTTCATCTGGTTCTGAGTTAATCTCCCCCGAATTTCATTTAAAGTAAGAGTTTTCAATACAAAAATATTGAATGTCAACTGTCATTGAAAAATAAAAGAGCTTTTATTGGTATAAAAATAAAAACTTTGAGATCACTGGTTTAAATGCTCCCATCCATGTTAAATATTTACTTCCACCTCTTAGCCTTGAATCTGAAGTGAGGGAAGGTACCATTTCATTTCCAGTGTTGAGAATGAATACTTGTCAATTTTCAGCAATGAGGTAAACATCTTAAAGCCCTTTGGGCAAATAGCCTCATAGTTCATTCAAAAATTACTTTTACTTCTCAGTTGATTGAATCTGCTATTATTTTGTTTTATTAGCCTGTAAATTATTTATGCAGAATCAGGGAACCAGAGTCAGTCTTTGCTAGCTGAGATTGAGTGGCATTTGCTGTGCTGTCATGCTACACAATTATCCCACTAAAAAGTAAACAATTACGTGAATGCTAGTGATGTGCTGATAAACTGGCTCTCCAGACTAAAATTGAAAACAAGTGCCATGACTTGTAGTGATTGCTGATCTCATGGCATAAATACTCCCGCTGTGGCATAAATAGTCCCAGCATGGCTGGTTTAAAGCTTCCAAAATTCTTGAATTGTTAATAATTGGTTCTCACCAAGCTGTTAGGAGCCCATTCCGATGCACTTTACAACGGACAGTGTTTATGAAAATCAGGCAGATATATCATTTGCCCTTCCTACTTTTTGGAATTCTCTATGTAGAGAACCACATTAAGATAAGTGTCTGTTCTTTTAATGTGAAGGAAATAATAGAGGGTGGCTAGGAAGGGGAAGATAGGGAACTGGAAAATATGAGATCGGCAATTCACATTTTAAAGGATTAAGAGCCATATTTTAGACCTGGAACTTTGCAAGCCTGTCTTTTTTCACTGAAGACAGACCAGCCTGGTTGAATTCGGCAAACCCTCACTGAGCACTCATTGTCCACCAGACCCTGTTACTGGACCCGTTGGGAGACAAATATAAAAGGCATGGCCAGTCCTTCAGGAAATCAACCAACGTGTTGCTCCTGTGCAATCCGTAAACATGAATACAGTTTAGTAGATTAAATGGGTATTTGCAAACTGGACGTGAAGTGACAACAGAGGCCTCACGTGTGTGGTGCTTGTTTGTTTTGCTCTTGCATAATTAATATCCAAAGGAGAGAGAGGACGCCCAGGAGATGAAGGAGAAATGGCTATAATTTCCAAGAAGGGGGAAACCGGGGAGCCTGGACCTCCTGGAGATAATGGATTCCCAGGAGAAGAAGGTAAACACTCATGTTTTTGAACCATATCAAATAAGTTAGCTTCACAGATCGCTCAAGCAAGCATGTATATTAGGCAATTTTCCCAGTAACACTGAGACTAGAAAAGGTTGTTTTCTAGACAAACATGTGCGCTAGTGAATTTAATGGTACTTGTTTTTCTTTTCTATGCTAGAACTTAGCTGAAGTTCATATGCATTTATAGATTTGGATATTCCAAAGTAGGATCAATCCTGAGATACACATAACATTGTTCCAGGGTTAAAGTACCCCTGTTTTTGGTGGCTAGTATTAAAATGAAGAGCACAGAGATGGTCCAAGTCATTTTGACCAGCGCTTCTCAAATTTTAATGTTCATATGAATCCTCTGGGACGCTTTATAAAAGGCACATTTTGAATCAGCAGGGCTGGGCCAACCCTGCCTTTCTAACCAGCACCCCCTGCCCCGTGCTGCTGGCCTCAGAACCAGCACGCAGCGAGGATCTTGACCTCCACATTTGGGTTCTCTTTCCCAAGTTCAGACTTAATCTGCACGAGACCTGAGTTCTTAGCTTGGCTCTCGTCTTAACTAGTTGTCAGGGACAAATGTTTTAACTTCTCTGAGTGAGTTCTTCTTCGTTTGTAAAACGAACTTGTTGGAGCAAATGATCCTACTCACTGGCTCCTACCTGGGGCGTCCCTGAAGCTGTTCCTGGGCAGCGTTTTTCACAGGCAGGGCGCTGAAACCAGAAACCATCACGTTGTGATTCAGGGCAGGAATTAGGATTCTCTATCCCTTTGGCTTCATCTCCTAAAAGTAGGACCAAGACCCTCAGCCTAGTCCAAGAATTCCTCCAAATTGGTTCTAACACTTCTAACCACACCAGGTGATAAAGGCCCTCCTGGGATGCCAGGGAGAAGAGGGGAGCCAGGAAGACCCGGGCCACCTGGGCTTCACAGAGGAGAGCCGGGTAGAGATGGGCAGCCGGGGCCTCCTGGACCGCCAGGCCCACCGGGCTCACCGGGGCTCAGAGGGATCATTGGTTTTCCGGGATTTCCAGGTGATGAGGTAAGTGGCTGCTGTTTTGGGAGGGAAGAAATAATAAAACCTTCTGCTCTCAGGGTGCCGATGAGTCATAGTTTGCCAGTGGACATCATAGCCCTTTCACTGGCTTTCAGAATTCAGGGTTTGGCCAAGGGAAGAATGGAGACTTCCAGAAGGCCATGATGTAACTATGGTTTCTGACCAGTGCCTGCTTCCCATGACATAGGTGACCAAGTCACTTACTCCACCTACTATCCCTGGCATAGTTATAACAGCCCCATAGAGACTCGCCTCATGACTGCTGGTGTACTAAAGAGTCATCTGAGAAATGATTGCAGATATTATAGATTTTGCTGTAAATACATTGACTTGATCCTTATAATTATGAGTAAAATACCCCGTGAGAAGCCAGGAGATACAATAAGTGTAGTAGCCTATATCACAACTCTAAAATGTATAATTCGTTACCCATCTCTGGGAATAAAATAGACTTTTAAAGTTTTGGGTATGAAGCGATTTCTAATTATATTTTATTTAGTGTCAACTTGTTCATTTAAAACTTAAAACTCAAGTTATGTGATGCAGTTACTGTTTTGCAATCAAGTATAGAGAATTGGATGCTACCTGTTGGTACTGATACCTCCAATTCTGGAGGAGTTTTATCAACTTTTGAAAACTAGATACATGTAGTCGTATGCCTATAATGCATTTCCAAATTTCTTTGCCACTGCAAATTATAAACACCAAATTGGTTATGGAAAATTATAGCTGGATCATGTCATGCCTCTGTCATTTGTGTGTGAAACCCAATTAAGGTTTTACTTCTGTTTCATTAATCTATTAGGGTGAGCCGGGTTTTCCAGGGCCCCCCGGACTTTCAGGAATTGATGGAATGAGAGGACCTAAAGGTATGGTTTGGAAATACAGCAGCCAGCCATTAATCTCATAGTCCTGGGTGTTTGTAACATTGGGAGCAAGTACCTTTTGCATGAAAAGCAACACACAGTCAAACAAACTGCAACACCCACGGGTTCTTTTTAGACTCTTCTAGGTAGTCAAACACTCAAAACCCAAGCCGTCCACATTTGTCATCAAGACCTGAGAGCATCAGATAGAAAGCAGCAAGCCTACAAGGCACACCAGGCTTCTCCCTCAGGGGAGTCCTTGCAGCTGTCCTTGCAGTGACCGTAGCTTTATGAGTGACAGCTCAAGTGCAAGGAGACCAGATCCACACGGTGCACACTGTACCCTTGGCTGAGAAGCCCAGTGCCCCGCTAAGGCCTCCACAGGTACAGCTTTTAGAGTATCAGCTACAAGAGCCACAGTTCACAAAGGCCCAAGCCATGACTTCCCATCAGGTGTTAATAGTTCACTTAAGAATTCCTGGGCCACATGTAATGTACAATTGGGTTATGTTTTACCATAAGCCAAGGGTCAGCAAATACATATTTTTCAAAGGGCCAGGTAATAACTATTTTCAGTTTGTGGTCTCTGTCACAACTGCTTGACTGTGAATAAAAGCAGCCATAGAAATACACAGGGTCGTGGCTAAGTGCCAATAAAACTTTATTTACAACACAAGCTACAGGCCTTAGATCACCGTGTGCTTTGTAACACAATCTACATTCTACTTTTACCATGTTTCCAGGAAACAGAAATAGAAAGTTGACCCAATGTCAAAAATGTCCTTAGAGAGAGAATTCATTAACCCTTTCTCCATAGAAACAAGCAAATAAGCAGAAATCAGGCTATCTTACATTGCAATGTTTGTATAAAATCTTTAATATTTTTTACTGTTTTTCTATACTACTGGGTTAGTATTTCTTCTAAACCATTGGGTTAATGTATTTTAAAATCTACTTTAAAATGATTCACCTTATTAACCCCACTCTCTGTGAATTCAGAAGTTTGATATGAAGTTAGATTTTATTTTAATACAGTTAAAAGACACACCTTTAAAATATAAAATACTAATTAATAAACCACCTAAAAATATCTTCCCCTATTCCAATGATACGTGCTTTACCCTTTGACAGATACTATATAAAGAATATGCTGTAAAAACAGACTGTGCACACATTTATTCAGAAAGAATAACATAGCTCTCTTCTTCTTCGGAAATGGTTACAAAAAGGGAAATTTTCATATTTAACTTTTGACATTTTATAGCTTCAGGATTCAGAGCTCACTCCTCTTCTTCTTCCCTGTAAATTTATTATAGTCCCTTTGCCTCTCTCAAAGTACAAGCCTGCTTCTTATTTCCTTCATGACTGTATTAGGCCACATTGGCAAGGAACTGAAATGCGCTCGGGTACCTGGAGCGAAAGATGTCTCATGGAGCCCAGAGAGGAGACCAGAAGCTGACAGAACCTGGCCCTTAGCAAGTCATGGTTCTCTCTTGAGAATTTTCTGCCATTCTCCATGGTCAGTTTTTCACTTACCTGCCTACCAGCTGGTTTTCATCGCTCTCTATTTGGTATCTTTTCCGGATCTTTCTGGAAATGTCCGGTTGCCTTCCAACATGCTCTACATCAGGGTATTATGATATTCTACATCACGATAATCTTTTTGCTTTCTGCCTCAATAGCAACTACCTCAAATCCTCACTTTTTAATACAACTTCTCAAGGAAAGATTGGCTGACCAGGGATGGGCCAGATTCCTACTGTTCAAATAATTAGCCACAGTTATGAGTAGTGTCAGCTGGGAGAGCACCTTCTACAAGGTGTGGGTGGGGCCTTTAGAAAGCAGTGTTGGTGTCCTGTGTCTGGAAGCTTTCGGCGGCAGTGTGGAATGGCTCTGTGGGACTGTGGGAGTCACTGCTCACAATGGCCTTTGACTGTTCCACCTCTTGTGAAATCATCAATCAAGTGCGACTTTGTGATTTTGTTTTTACAAGAACACTAACTTGAGCTTCCTTGCAGAGAGCTTGAAATGTGACTACAGCAGCTGGAACTGACAATTTCTTTTTGTTTCAAAAACACAATATCAGGATATAGTCACACCATGCCAAGGAATTTCTTAAATAGATGCCTACATTTGAAACTATTTTAGGCAATTTAAAAATTTAAACTTATTAAGATTTATAGTTTCCCATGATTGTTATCAATTATAAAATTGTGTGTGTATTTAAATACTACATCTTGCATCTATGTTTCCATTTATTCTTATGTAGAAAAAGAAAATTTTTTTTTCAATAATCTTTTCCTGGAATATTTGAAGATAGACTATAAAGACAAACATCAGAGAAGTTATTAAGTTACTTGTATGAGACAAAATTAAATTCTCTTAAATAATGTTATGTGCATTTTATTACAGGAAACAAAGGGGATCCTGCAAGTCAGTTTGGTCCACCCGGTCCAAAGGGTGAGCCAGGCAGCCCCGGATGTCCAGGTATTGCTACATATTTTTCTTATTAATCCAAAAAGAATACATTTGGTTTGAAAGCTAGAACGATTACTTTATCCTCTGAGTCAGCAATGATTATGTTAGTATTTTATTCCCCCTTTTCCGCTAAGACACATGTCAGAAGGATTATGTACAAACACAGCATCGCATCCCTGGCTGAGCAGGACACTCAATCTTTTCTAACCATGGCTCCCAGGACCGATGATGTTGACATGACAATACAATCAGGTGTGCCCAGATTTTGACAATGATTATTGAAGCAACTGAAACTTGGACTAGTTTGCAGTCTCTCTAATTAAAATGATACATCAGCAATAACCACTCACACTGAGTACAGCTGCAGGTTCTCATTCAGCCCTTTCTTTCCTACTCAGAAAGGCGTATGTGAATGCCAGTGAGATATCACTGCTAAGATATTGCTAAGATACCACTGAATTGCTACGATATCACTAAATTGCTCATTTAGGAGATGCCAAATTTACCAAAAACCAAACCAAACAAATGTAAAACCTCATCACCAGTGACAAATCTAAGTTCTTCAAAACAGTACCTTCTTTGTCAGTAACAACGGATGTATAATCCCTTTGAACAGACAGATCAGTGAGTTCTTGCCCTCCAGTCCAGGAGGCTGCGGTTGACTACAATAGATGACCTGCAGCTGACAAAAGATGCACGCTCTTCCTTAGTCATTCCACCACAGGCATTAATCTTAAGTCATCAATCAGATGAGTGTACAGAGATGCGCCCACAGGGATATCCACTGCATGGGAAGAACAGGTCCATCATAGATGGTTGGTTACATAACCTGTCCGCTGTCATTCTGCTGACAGTGGCCGGGTTGGAAGCCAGGTTCGTATTTAGATGGGTCCCTTGTAAATTAAAGCCTCTCATATTAATATTTTTGCGCACTATCTTGAAATTCTCTCTGGCAATAGGCATGTTTTTTTCCATAGAACAGAAAGAACATCTGAACAGAAGTTTAGGGGACATTTTATTTCTTGGTTGTTATACCACATGATTGCTCAAATGGAAGTCTAACAGAAAAACTAGCGATTACAATGTTTTCATCTCGCCCTCTCTTTCATATGGGTCTTTCACCTCCGACGTGGTCAAATATAGTTCATATTTTAACAGAAAGGTATAGCCTAAGTGTGCATTTGGAGGAGAAAATAGTTTTGAGGTTAGCGCTCTGAGGGTTCTTAAGTGCCAGAGTGAAAGGTCTCAGAAAGGAAAATTAGTGGTTCAAAGTCACCCTTATTATTACAGTGCATAGGGTCTTGGCAAGTCGCTTATCATCTCTGAGCTCAGTGTCCTCACCTGTAAATTGGCCCAATGCTCATTGTAGGATCATTCAGAGGATCAAATGAGATTTTGGGAGGGCAATTTGTAAACTGAAAATTGCTACACAAATATAAAATGTCATTGTCACCATCATCACCAGTCAGCAAAGCATTGAGAGATTTTTCTATAGTTACTGGTATCTTTATGTGAACCCTGAAGATAGTAAAATTTTATAAACTGAAAGTAGTAAAATATGAAGCCTTTTGATATTACCTAATATTCTAATTTAAAAATCATAAATCTGAGTTCTTTGACACTTAGGCTAACTTTTTCAAGAAAATTTGCCTTGGCATAACGTCCCTGGTCTCCTGTGGTCAGCACCATTTAAATTGTTCCCTATCCTGTATGCCATAGCTTTAGGTTAAAAATTTTTAAATGACATCTTATATTATTTACCAGCTCAGAATTTACCTACACATGTGATTTCCATTGACTGGAAAGAGCTGCATTGAATTTGAATGAGCCTAACCAGATGCCATAGGGCTGCTGCTGTCTCAGGGGTTATGTAGGATGTACTGGGTCCAGTTCCATTGCCCCTTCAATTCAGAGAAAAAACATAGTAGCAATGAACTCAAACGTTCTGTTCATACTAGCTGTGATGGGGAGGCAAGCCTTTCACTACTTCAGTTTTTTCATGTGGAGATGAGAATAATGCTGCCTTATCTTCACGCCAGGAATGTTTTCAGGGTAATAAAATAACAGAGAGAGGCTCAGGTCTTAAATTGGTCTGGGAACAGGTATCAACTAACATAGTCTTGTTTCGTGTGTGTTATAATAAATAATGACTATGCCCTCACCATGGGTTTGTCAGTACAGAGCCCTATATTTTATTTGTGGCTACAACCGGTTATTTTTTTAGCACAGACTGTTAGTTTATCCTATGAATATGAATTGTATTAAAATCACACATTGGAAATAAACACACGGGGAAATGGTTATCTTCTCTAGTAATCAAAGAAGTGTAACTTAATGTAAGTCTGGAATATTATTTCATCCTTACTAAGTTAGCAAGAAAATAAACCAACAGCCTAAAAAGGCCTCCGCGAGTGCCTGCCCTGCTCTTGGACGTGTGAGGACGAGTGTGGGTGGGACTGTGGGGTGGAGTGAGTTGGTACAGCACATGTCCGAACCAGTTGGCAACCTCTATCAAGAACCAAATGCTGAATGGTCTGTGCTAGAAGCCTAGAGAACAACTGAACTGTTCTTTTCAGTTCACTGTCCTGAGAAAGGGACTGTAGTAGATTTTTTTTTTTAATGTAAGAGATAGATCCATCGGATGCCATGTGTGCTTCTGGAATGGAACCCGGTGTGGACAAGCCAGCTGTGAAGGACATTAAGGGGATAGTTGGGGGAATTCAAGAATGGAATTAGTATTAGATTATATTAAGGATTGCTATTAATTTTCTTGGCTGTGATAATGTTATTTTGCCCATGTAAGGGAATGGTATTTTTCAGACATACCTCCTGAAATATTTAGGGATGGAATTCCATGATGTCTGTGATTTACTTTAAAATATCTCAGCATTTTAAAATGAAGAAAAAGACCCAAAATGTTATGTTACCTAGAAATTCTACTCCTAGGAACTTTTCAAAGGAAATAATGTAATAGTAGAAAAATGTATTAAAGATGTATAAAAATCATTATGCATAATAGCAAAGAGAAAAACACTTGAGTGGCCAAAAGTAGGAAACATTTGCATTAATTAATTAAATTTAGGTGAACTCAGTAAGCTATGAGCCAGTCACTTAAAAACAAGAATTAGGAAAATGATGACAAACTTGGAAAATTACTTCTGATTCAATGCCAATTTAAAAAAGCAGAATATAAAATTGTGGGTATTATTTGCACTTTGTATACATATAAAAATTGTTTGAGGTGGTGGGATTATAGGTGTTTTGTTTTTAATTTTTCCTTAATGTTATCTTCTCAATAGAAAAATTATTAATATAAAAAAGTAAGACTAGAAAAGAATAACAAGGGCTGAGTTGGAGGTTTTATAGATTCACTGTCTTGAAGAGCATCTACAACCACTCAGATTTTTTATCTTTCTTTGTTTAGGGCATTTGGGAGCTCCTGGAGAGAAGGGCTTGGCCGGTGTTCAAGGGCCCAGAGGACCACCAGGAAGGCCAGGACTGCCCGGCTCCTCCGGACCACCAGGGTGTCCAGGTACCTTGGGAAGAAGCCTGGAACCTTCCCAGACACCTATCTATCTCGTGCTGCATCAGAAAGGACCAGCCTTCACTCAGACCTGGGTTCCGCTCTGGTTCTGCCATTTCCTAGACCTGTAACTTTGAACTAGTCACCCAAACTTCCCTATTCCTTCCTTACCTGTCAATTGGAGCTAGTCCTCACTCCCTGAGTGGTCTGGGCGTAAAACTAGGTCAACACCTATAAAGGGCCTAACAGGGTGTCAGGCACGAAGGGATGGCGCTCCTTTCCTGCCCTTCCTAATTTACCTGCCCTTCAGGATGCTGGCTTTTTTTCTCTCCTTTAGACTTAAGATAAATATCACACATACAGGACAGCATTGTAAAGGCTCCTCTTCCTGCAGATTCAGAATAAAGTGAGAGTAGAAATCATAATTGGCAACTTTAATTGCTCAAAATGTATTTTTTCCTTCTGAGCTTAAATGTATTTTTTCTAGAGTCAGGAGGCCTAGGAAGAAAAAGTAATAAAACAGTGTTCCTGGTTCAAGTACCTCATATAATAAGAACATAGATGACCCTCCCAGTTAATGTGCTCATGTGCCATCTGGGTGTCTGCAAAACCTCCCTGTCATCCTCAGGTGATCAAGGGATGCCTGGGCCAAAGGGACATCCAGGAGAAATGGGGGACCCTGGACCAAGAGGCCTCATGGGGTATCCAGGGACACCAGGTCTTCCGGGAATAAAAGGTAAGTCAAAGAGGAATCCTGGCCCATCAGAAAAATCCAGGCCAATGAGGGCAAATGCATAGTGGCTCTCCAGCATTGAGTGACATTGCTCCTGGTCATGGCCCTTCCCCATCAATGTCATCAGCCCCTGCCTGTACTTTCTCACTCAGGGCTCCAGGCAGTGCCCATCTAGCCTCCTGACCTGCCTCCTCTCAAAATGATGGTGATACCATCTCATTTTCCAAGGCATTTCCCCCAGTGTTTTCCATAATGTTCAGGCCTATTCATTTATTCTCTCCTCAGATAGTTAAGCTCCTACTATGTCCTAGATTCCAGATACTCAGTACCCAGTTTTGAAGAAAATAGACATGGTTCCTCCTTTATGGAGCTCACAGTTGAGTAGGAGAGACACATATTAAATATCTATGTGTAAATAAATATGTATTTACCAGTTGTGATAAGTGGAAGGGAGAGGGGGGAAAAATAAGATGCTATGGCAGAACTAGAATTCATTACCTTGTTGATAAAGAAACATTTTTTCCTGGTTGAATTTTTTGGTCTTTAAAGATGGGTTATAATATAGGTCTGGTTAACATAACATAATGCCATAGAATTATACAATTGATTTTTAACAAATTTCCATGCCTTCTCCCATTCATCTATGGTACTTATTTCTCTTCAGTTCATTGCTTTCATTTTAGATAAAATATTTTTCCACTGGTACTTTGTGTGTACCTCTAGCCTAATAATACTTACATTGTATAACATTTGTTTGTTTAGAAGTTTTTCTCACCAAGTGATTTTTTAAAAAGCAAGGACTATGTTTATATGCTTGGCACTCAGTAGTTACCCAATAAGCCTATTGGTTGGTTATTGTATTTTTAAATTTATGAATAAATTAATAAATGAAGGAATGGACAATAGAAGAAGGAACATCTGAGCTAGTAGTTATGAAGATGAGGGTTTTCACCCCAATCAATAGTTGAAGGTTCAAGCCTTACTTGATAGATTTCTGTAACCTATCTTTCTCTACCTCCTCCTTCTTCTTTTCCCTCCCACTTTTTTCATGATTAACCACTTCTACTGTATTTCCACTTCTTTCTATCCTCCCAGTTCAGTAAAATAGTAATCATTTTCGTGTCTTGGTGCCATAACAATATCCACCCAGTCTGACTAAAATGACAAGGCTCAATCTACTATTGTTGATTCTTCCTTCCCTTGAATTAGTTTACATTTATTACATAAGTTCAGTATATGTTATATTAAAACCTAACAGTTAATGAATTTGATAGAATAAATATTACTTGAAGGTAATCTCTAATCACATCATAATTCTGTGCTTTGAAAAAATAAGTTTGTTAAGAAGAGAAGGTGAGGAACTAAATATATCCACTCAAGTATTCAGTGTGCAGAAGGATGCTGCAGTGCGCCTCCCGACCACGTGGTGGCACTGTTTCACTGTAAACCGCCTATTGCACAGCCAGTCTTAAAAAGAAACAAAACAGTGAAACAGATTCCTAAAAATTAACTCCGACCATCTAAATCCATTGTTGCTTTTTATCATGCTGGTATAAAATTGAACCACACTCCAGCAGAAACACTTTGAACTGCGAAATTAAATATTTGAAGTATGTGCTAAATAAGTCAAGGGGCCCGATTTTCTTGTTTGAACAAACCAGCTGCTGAACTCAAAGTTGTTTGCTCTGCTAGAACGGGCCATATGGATTCTGAGTCCTGCTTGTGTTCAGTCAGATTTAAACTTTAACTTAAACATATGCTGAAAATGGCTTGGTTCCTAGACTTAAATTTCCAAGTACACATGCCCTCTACAAGGAAGACACTCTGTTCCTAGTTGGGTGTTCATAGCGGATTGGCATAATGGGGACCGAAAGACAACTTCGTAGCATGACAAGGACTCATTTGGTTGGGTTATTTTGGTTGGTGGCAAGTAAAATATTTCATAAGAAATAAAATACCTTGGAGTATCTTTTATCAGCCAAGTAATATTTTCTCTCCCTTTTTACAACTAGAGTGTTCTCCTCCTGCCCACCCCTACTCCCTCCTGACGCTCCCCCCCACCCCCCCCACACACACAGCACTTACCATTCCAGGGGTGGATGCCTGTTCTGACAAATTGGGGCTGTTTCTCTAGGTTCCTCATTGTCTCATCCAGCACTTGTCACTAAGTACATTTGGGGACTGACGCTCCATGGGTTAGGAGACCATGTCTTATGCCCTTGTGCATTCCTTTAGTAGAGACTAATCTATTTTCTGAATTTTGGAAAAAAATTAAATTGTATTTCAGAACCTGTTTTGTTAAGTTTTCAACTCTGCTCAACTGTTATTTATAGCCATGAAGGTCTCTCTTTCCCATCAGCTTTAACATTAGGGTGACCAGCTGTCCCGGTTTGCCTAGAATCGAGGGTGTGTGTGTGTGTGTGTGTGTGTCAGGCTGTGGAACTTCCTGTGTTAGAACTAGGAAAGTCCCCAACAAATAGGTCCCCTATTAAAAGTATAAACCTGTGTAAAGGCTCTTGGAGATAGAACAGTGTTTTCGGCTCTAGGACAGAAGAAAACGTACCAGTGGAGATTCAGTGACAAAGCTGTTTGACTTGGAGGCTAGGGTGACAATTATGGCTGGAGGCTGGAGTGGAGGGTAGACCCTCTGACTGGAGGGAGAGCCCAGCCTGCGAGTGCAGGGAGATGCAGCCTTAAGTGGTGGTTGTTAGCCGAAGCCGTCCACAGAGGTGAATAAAAGTCCTCATTACCAAGGAATGTGCTTTGTTAGCCTAATTGCCTCTCATCTGTACTGTATATATTTTATGCATGAACAACTTTCTGATTTAGAGATGAGATTGATAAAAAGCTTTCAGTAAAAAGGAAAAATTGCCCTTAAAACCCTACCCAGATGTAGCTGCATTCAATTTAGAAAGATAACATTGGGTCAGATAAGGGTCGGACAGTTCAACAATGGCGAGGGCCTGGGATTGTGACAGGCCAGGATCTGGACGTGTTGATGTGACAATGGAGAGTTGGCAGACGCCGGGGCATTCCACCCCAGCCAGCTCCCCCAAGACATCAATCTTGGTGGCTTACCCCGGAGATCAAAACACATGGAAATAACAAAGTAATCTTGAAATTTATTATCATTTCAGATAGATTGCAGTAAATATCTAGATTTGGCAGATGAGGAAGGTCTGTGTGTTCTTTTGGTGCAAACTTGGAACATTGGCTCATAAATAGGAAAGATGATTGGAAAATAAACTAAACCAGAACTGTTAAAAGTGTAAGGAAATAAGATCTTTAAGGAAAGTCAGGGTGTATTCCCAAATTTTTTTTGGGGGGGGTGTGCAAGAGAATATGGCTTATTTGTACCAATCTAAAGTTTATTTTATTTTTATTGTATTTATTGGGGGTGACATTGGTTAATAAAATTTATATTGGTTTCATGTATACAATTCTACAATAGATCATCTGTATATTGTATAATGTGTGTACCACCCCAAGTCAAGTTTCCTTCCATCACCATTTACCCTTCATTTACCTTCCCCGACCCTAAAGTTTAGATTTAAAAAATAGAATGACTGTCTGTTTCAAGTACTGACAATAAATAAAATGGAACCAACTAACTTCTATCTTCTAATAAGTCCACAGAGGACTTGGTTTTGCGAACATATAACAATTAGCACTTGAATTATTTATATACAAATGGATACCTCTAACTTCCCCAAATCTTATACAAATCTATCACAGAAAGATGAGGCATGAAATAGAAATGGTAGTCCACTTCTTTTTAAAGCTTTTTTTCCACCTGTTCAATCCTTCCCCCTCCGCGTTCCACCTTTTCTCACTCACTCATTGGTTTACTCACTCATTCAATGAACATTCATTGAATATTTACTGTGTGTCAGGAGATATGCCAAGTATGTACATAGAAATATTAATAAGATCTGATCTTACATTCAATTAATTTACACCAAATAAACCAGTTATCCAGACATGATTGTTGTACAGCGTGAGCCTACCATGGGGCATCGTGGGGTTCTCTGTGGGTGTCATGGCATAGGGACGGGCACTTTCTGTGTGTTAGTCCTATAAGCTGAGGCTGTCAGTATCACAAATCCAAGGGATGTGACCATAAGCTGAGTGAATGGCTGGCTGTGCACTGAGGGGCTTACAGCCTTGGATGAGAATGAGCAGCTACTGGCTGGAAGATCCATTAATGAAAGAGAAAGGTTACCAGGCATGGCCAGGGGCTGAGGAGAAGATTCTTTCCCCAAATTAATCAGTGGAGCAAGATGTGTGTGAAGCACATGGCAGAGGGCTCAGTACCTGGAATGTTCTGTACATATTGGTTACCTTCTTTCCTTCTTCTCTCCCTCCTTTTCTTCCCTCTACTGACTTTCTATAAATCTATATATTTGCATACTGTAATATAATATACTATCCTATATAATAAAAGCCTAATATGCTAAGTGTCCAGTTATCCAGTCGTCCATTCAACCAATCAAAGCGTAATATGATAATGATATGCTAAGGCTGCTCAACCCCTTGCTATGCCATCCACTGACAACCAGGGGGCAGACGTTTGCCCAGTCGCTGTGATGTTCACTGACCACCAGGGGCAGACACTCCAACTGGTAGGTTAGTTTGCTGCTGGTGTCTGGCTGATAGGGACCGAGCGACATGGGCCAGACACACCCTGGAGCCCTCCTACTGTCCCTCCTTGGCTGGCCAACCTCCCAAGTCCTGCCCCGGCCCCGATCATGCACCAGTGGGGTCCCTCAGCCTAACCTGCACCCTCTCGCAATCCAGGACCCCTTGGGGGATGTCGGAGAGCCAGTTTCAGCCCGATCCCGCAGGCCAGGCCGAGGGACCCCACTGGTGCACGAATTCGTGCACTGGGCCTCTAGTATAATATAAACATATTAAACATATTTTAAATATGTAGTTTATATCTCTATATATTGATAAATATATAGTGACAACTTAAGTAAAACCAGGTCAGCAAATGTCTCCTTAGAGAATAGATGTCCAATAGAAGATTCAGAAAGAAGATGAAGGTGTGAATGAGATCCCATCTAAATGCAGAGAATGAAGTTTCAGTGGTAATCATGAAATACATTTTGTTTCTGAAAAGAGGCATTAGAATGATTCTCTTTGAAACAAGTGGTTGCAAAGAAAGAGCTGCAGCGAACTTGACCTTCAGGCCTGATCTTTCTGAGCAGCACAGTTATTTAAAAAAATTATAGAGGGCATATACTCCCCAGTATGCCCCAGGCCCCACCTGTCCTTATTGTCTTACTATATCTACCTAACTAGATCCTGCGAAACTAGAATTTAAAGACCCTGGCTGACCTAGCTGATTTGGCTCAGTGGACAGAGCATTGGCTTGCAGGCTGAAGGGTCCCAAGTTCCATTCTGGTTAAGGGCGCATGCCTGGGTTGCGGGTTCGATTCCCAGTGCAGAAGGCAACTGATCAATGATTCTCTCTCATCATTGATGTTTCTAGCTCTCTCTCCCTCTCCCTTCCTCTCTGAAATCAATAAAAATATTTTTTTAAAAGTCTGGTGGAGTGGAATGATCCTGGGAGGAGGGATGGCTAGGTTTGCTCCCATCCGATCTCTTTCGTCATCTAGGATGATTTTATTGTCATAAAATTGAAGGTCACTGCCTACACCACGATCTAGTAATTGTAGACTGTTTTTGGTCAGAGAGGAAGATGGTCCTGAAATGGTCAACTCACACAGCAGTACTTTAAAACCAAAGAAATGGGTGTGTTAAGCAGTCTTGGCAGAAAATGTTCATCAAATGAATGTTAAATAATAACTACTGGCATGGATTCATCCCTGATAATGGTGTGTAGACTGTGAGATCTCGTGGTTCCCACCTAGAGAATCTGTCCATCTCCATCAGCAGGCGCCCCTCTGAGAGGTGCCTGGGAACCATGGCCAGTGAAGTTCAAGGGCTGGTCTCCTCCCGGGGGTCACAGGCCTGTGATGTGTTGCAGGTCCCCCCGGGTTACCCGGCCTGAATGGCTTGCATGGTTTAAAGGGTCAGAAAGGAACCAAAGGAGCTTCAGGTAAGAGGAAACCCTCCGTGAGAGACTTACCTGCAATCAGTGGACCTCTGGTAGGTATTTCCTCACTTCTCACAATGTGGGTTGTGACACAAGGAAACTGGCTTAGCACACAGACACAATATGGGACTCCTTTTAGTGCTGAAGATGACTTATATAAAAAGGACACTTGAGAAAACCCAAAGTAAGAGGGGATGGTTGGTAACAGTGCCTTTTGTTGATGTTGCTTAGGATGATCTCTCTACTAAAATACACTGGGTAATTGCTTAGGTGGGGCAAGATTTCACAATGTTATGAAGAACAAATAAATAGTCCAGATTTCTTTTTGTCTTATTTTGTTTTAGGTGTAGTATTGCCAAGTACAACCATGTGGGTCTAATTAGCACTTTTAGCATCTCTCAAACAGCCTGCTGTTGAAACAAATTACCTGCACAAATTACTGTTACTTTTGACATAGCAAATAAATAATTATCGACAACTGCATTTTAGTTTGTTCCGGTATTTTAATATAATGCACATTTGTTGCATGACTTTCTCAGAAAAATAGCTCACCATCAGACAAGGTAGCCGGAGTCAGACACACAGATTTGAGGGACTGTGGGAAAAGGGTTGAATTGCTATGCTGCTAGATTTGAGTCTGTTGAATCTTTATACAGTTTAGAAGGCCAAGAAGTAAAATTGTTGGGCCATGTTGGATTCATTTAGTGACGGTATTTTAATATAATGCACATTTGTTGCATGACTTTGTCAGAAAAAATAGCTCACCATCAGACAAGGTAGCTGGAGTCAGACACACAGATTTGAGGGACTGTGGAAAAAGGGTTGAATTGCTGTGCTGCTAGATTTGAGGCGGTTGAATCTTTATACAGTTTAGAAGGCCAAGAAGTACAATTTGGGCCATGTAGGATTCATTTAGTGGCTGTTCTAAATAGTCTGATAAAATATGTGTCCCCTCCAAACAACCAATGATGCTCCGTCTTTTCAATGTGAAAGTTTACAATAATTCTATTTACATGTCAGTTTCCACCTTCCATTTCAAACCAGTTTATTCATAATTGCTCATTGTTGGATCTCCTCTGTTTTCACTCTTTCCATTGTAGAGGTTAGACAATTGGTATTGTCACTGGGTTGTTTTTTTAAATATGGAAAATAATTAAAAGTAGATCAAGCCTATGGTTGACCAGTGTGATGGGCTTTAAGAGAGTAAATGGTCACCTGGAAATGTATGCAGCCATTTGGGTCACCATTGAAGCTGATGTTGGTCTCAGCAGAACCAGCTGCTTCCAGGTCACACCCCAACCACTGGGACAAACAGGGAAAAGACACAGTGCTAATGCTGTCTTCTACATTAAGGTTTGAATGAAATGGGCCCACCCGGCCCAATGGGAATGCCTGGGCTGAAAGGGGAGACAGGTGACCCCGGGAACCCAGGAATTTCTCCTCCAGGCCTTTTTGGAGAAAAAGGTCCGCCAGGCCCTCCAGGTAAGAAGCAGAATGCTTTGAACCCCGCCCCCCTCCATACTGAAATCAAAATCTCCAAATGTGATTAGGCTCACATCTGGACATGTCCATCCTCAGGGAGACCTGGACCTCCTGGTCCTGCAGGTGCCACAGGAGGACCTCCTAAGTGTGATTTTCCTGACCCTGGTCCGCCTGGAGATCAAGGACCTCCTGGCCCCGATGGTCCAAGAGGTACGGGAAAATCCTGGCAAAGGTTGGTGATGCCCTTTCCTGAGATGCTGCCAGCTCTGTAGGGAGGGAGGACCAGAGAATGGCAGAGGAGAAGCCCCTTAGCAGCCCCATTATTTGGGCAGATGGAAAGGTGGGGAGGTGTGGGCAGCGGTGGGCTGGCAGGACCATACCCAGGAGAGCCCAGGCCCCTCACTGTTCTATGACACCCCATCAGACCACCTCTCTGTGAGTACAAACTCTGAGTCAGAGCAAGCCCTTCCCATCACCAGCCCGACGTTGTGTGCAAGGCTGTAGAAGGGGCAGGGATCTCATCCTGCCTGTGGGTGTCTGCACCTGCCCCCTAAACCTCTGCCACTGGCCCAGAGTGACAGGGCCCAGGCCTGGCGTACACACAGAGACAGAGCTCTCCCTGTGCTGCCCACAGTCCATTTCGCTCCTCTCATCACTTCCCAGGGACAAACTCCAGCAAGGCAATATTTAACCAATGGGTGGCCAGAGCTGGGCAGGGAATGGGGGAAAAGTGTGACTCAGTGCACTGTTTTGCTAAATGCAGATCATCACATTCCTCCTAATCAAAGAGAGACACAAACCACCATCTTTAAGTGCTAAACATTTTAGTAAAGGTGGGGGTTACAGTATTATATAATTCTATTTTACTACAAAATAAAACTGCTTAAAACAGCATAGTTTTAGTAGAATAAAATTTGGGCTCAATTCTTATGTGTAGACACTTGTTTTCAAATATGATTATAACTGAGTGAACATTTCTTTCACATCAGCCAAATTTTTTCTCATAAGTATATCATCTATTCATCTATGTATCTATCTATGTATCTATCTATGTATCTATCTATCTATCTATCCATCCGTCCGTCCATCCAACTCTCTATGTAATCTACATACTTACCCACCTACCTGCCCACCCACCTACCTATCATCTACATCTATCTATCTATCTATCTATCTATCTATCCATCCATCCGTCCATCCATCTCTCTATGTAATCTACATACTTACCCACATACCTGCCCACCCACCTACCTATCATCTACATCTATCTATCTATCTATCTATCTATCTATCTATCTATCTATCTACTCACCCACCCACCCACCTATTCTCTACCATATTAAAGCAATGGGATAGCAATGCAAACAAAAGGAATGGCTCTGAAGGAAAGGAAGGCTTTGCTTGGGTTCATTTTGTCCACCAGCCACTAACAGACTACTTACACCATTTCTCAGGCTCCACGAGACCTACTCTCTGTTTCACTTCTGACGCTATTGATTTTCTTATTTTTCTAATTCCTTCCATCCCTTGCTTGCAAACCATTAAATTACTTCCCTTCGGAAGCTCTCAGGCAGCCAGCACACAGGCTTATCTTTGACTGAAAGAATCTTTTGCCTCCTCCCTGTGGCCAGGACCCCCCGGGCCTCCAGGGCCCCCTGGGAGCATTGACCTTCCGCAAGGGGATCCAGGAGACTGTGGTTTGCCGGGGCCTCCAGGTCCCCGGGGCCCGCCAGGCCCTCCGGGACCCAAAGGCCTCCCAGGATGTGATGGAAACGATGGCCAGAAAGGTATGAACGCGAGTTGTTCCTTAAGTAGTTCGTGAAGGCTTCTGCTATCTTGCCATTGAGGTTCTGGAGCACTGGACCACCATGACCTAATTCTTACTTGCTGTTGAATCAGTGGCTGTATTGCCCAATTGTCCTTCCTTTCCAAAGAGTCCTAAAGTTCAGGTAACTGTTGGACAAGTAAGATGAGAAATACAAGTTCATCTTTAGCCCCTAAAAGCATACTTGATAATCTTTTAGACCAGAACTGAACAACAGAAATATAATGCCGGCTACATGTAATTAAAGACGTAGGAGGAGGTGAGCTTGATTTGCACCGTGCAGGATGAGCAGGACTTCGTGGGCGGGAGGAGGAGCTGAGGCAGCACGTGCCCGGCACCGAATGGCTGGTGGGGAAACTGAGAGTGAGAAGGAGAGCGGTGGGGACTCAGGTCTGGGAGTCTGTTCCCCAGGTAGTGCAGCGTCTTCCCTAATTTTCCTTCACTTGCAGTCCTTTGACTATCTCCAGAGGAAGTTCAGGATTGCAGGGCCTCTCGCTCTCATTTAGTTTTGTCTTGATCGTGGGACCATTTCCCTGAGTTCCTTTGATGGGTTCTGGGGTTTCCCTCACACATAGGCAGTTCTCAGCTTTACAGGAGAAAGTGAGAGACTGTTCTCCACCCTGAGCGAACTTTGCCCAGCATTTTGTTGGCGTGAGCCTCTGAATTTAGTCCATCAAACTGTCATCGCCTGGTATTGCTCCGTTCCACTGCCCTTGTTTTTATATGTTCCTTTTAGGACCAGTGGGGTTCCCGGGGCCGCAGGGGCCACATGGACTTCCAGGGTCACCTGGAGAGAAGGGTGTACCTGGCCCTCCAGGCAGACAAGGGCCGCGTGGGCCTGCAGGTGAGCTTCTGATGCCTCCTCCTCTCCACCCAGCAGCCCACACAGGGCGCTTCGCCTGAACACTTCCTCTGACAGTCATCTTTCAGAAGCAGTTCTTCTGAAGGCAGCAAATTCTTCTGAGTTCAGTCCTTTTGAAATAAAGTTTGCGTTTACTTCAGGCTGCACTACAAAGTCTCCTGCTTGGTAAACTAATATTTATTATTAAAACGGGTAAGTTGGAACATTAGGGGCGGATTTTACACATACTATCTCAACCACAAATCAATCTGTGTTCCCTCACCCAAGAGGCAAAGACTGAGTTGGTTATTGTTCTGTGAGGATTGCATAATCAGTTCCTATCCCTGACTTCCCATTGGTTTTGCTAGATGTTTTATTTAATGTTTTCTGTAAAGTGCATTAATGCCTATGAAGTTGAAAGGCTATTTAATTTAAACTCCATAGACAACACGTTTTCATCACAGTGTCAAAATAAGCCAAGGGATTGTTGAAAGGGCAAACAGACGTGTGCATCTGAGATGGGCAGAAGTAATATCTCTCAAGATCTTAAATCAATATTATGGTAATGTGGTGTCAGTTCAGAATAGTTGGCAATCTCCTAAATTAGCACTCTAGTCCAAAGAATAAATAAACTGCACTGCTCTATAGTGGATCATAGTTCAGCATGACAGGGAGCTTATACTCTGATTCATCTCATATTTCCTTTCTTTACATAACCTATAAAACTTGGCAAATTAATATGGAATTTTCAGAAGCCTTCAAAATAGGCAGAATTTCTATATACATTAAATTGGGGCATATTTTCCATAAAAAATGAACTCAAATTTTATGTTGCACAAAAGAGTTTCATTTCAGGTTTTTCTAGATATGAAAACTCCATTACTAAATCATAGCTGTTCTTGTCAGTAACACTATGGGCTATTTTTTTTATGTTTATTGATTTTAGAGAGAGAAGAAAGGAGAGGGAGAGAGGGAAACATCGATTGGTTGCCTCCCATACATGCCCTAACCAGAGGTTGAACCCGAAACCTAGGTATGTGCCCTGACTGGGAATCGAATCTGCAACCTTTTGGTGTATGGGACGATGCTCCAACCAACTGAGCCACTCGACCGGGACACACTATATGGACTTTTGAATGTCATGCTGCTTGCCTTCAATGCTGTGTTCAACTTATTGTTTATGTTCTCAAACAATCTATTTCATGTTTGTCCTAATTCATGATTTAAAATCTCTTTCTACCAATGAAAACCATTGTGCGGCCTCGGTTTTTGCCTTTGGATCTCTCCAGGTAACAGAGGTAAGCGTTGCTATAAAATGAATAATTTCCTCTCAATCTTATTTCCAGCCATCTCTATATTTCCATTTTTCACTGCATTTGGGAGTCAAACTTGTTACATTTTTATAAGCGGGGTCCTGTAATTATATTAGGTTTTAATGCCTTTGCTTGCTCGTTTCAGATATAGTAACCCCGTATTAGCCTGTCCTCTGCTGAGCCTCATTGCAGGTTGTCAGGGACTGTGCAAACTCAGCTTCCATAGTCTCAATTCAGGCACAGAGTATGTGGCTTTCTCTGTCGGATGCCACGGTACCCACCAACGGAGGCTTCTTGTATAAACTCCACAGTGGAAATGCCTAGAACACCCCTAAAATCAGCGGTATCAGCAGCATGAAAAGACGGGTCCTTAACACCCAGTAAGGGGCTGCGACAAGCCTTTCCTGGGGCACCAGAAGGCCATTTTCAAGGAGCAAATTTCTTAGTGTGTTAAAATGAAAACGCTATTATTCCTTTAAACTGAGTGTTCGTTTAACCCCCCACAATGCAAAAGCAACATGTTATTTTCTGTCTGGCATTTTCAAAGAGAATGGAGTTTCTCAAAAGAAGGAAAGCAAAGCTGTGAACGCTCGCATTTCTTCCTTCCTGGCACCTGGTATTAACCCCCATGAAAGTTGCCCTGGATACAGGTGCCCTATATTCTCTCTAGGGTGCTTAAAAGAGATGTCTTGGCCTCTGTCTTTCAGCTTGTGGTTTGTTAAAAAATAAAGAAAAGCAAAATCATAATTTTAAAAAGTCCTGCTCTTTTAAATGTTTAAAAATTACAGTTGTATATTTAATGAGTTTTTACTCCAACCCTTTTACTGTCTCTCTATGACTGTCTGTAGCAACTCATTTGAAGAAACATCAAAATCCTAAATCTGAAGTCCCAGCCAAATGCATCCCCACACTCCACTCCCCTTCCCTGCTTCCTCCATGCCTTCACCACTGGTGAGCGACTGGATGACGCAGAGAACATGGAACATAGTCACCTGCATTTCTCTCAAGTTCCCAATGGAAGAGACAAGTTTTATGTTAAGTTCTCCGTACAGTAAAAACAATAAAAACACATGCAGCTCTGTGTCCTGTGGTTTTATACAATATACAAAAGAGGCTAAATTCTAATGTCCTTATAGGGTTCAAATTCGATCTGCACAGGCACAGTAACCACTGTGTAGGCTAAAACGATGTGATTGTGGCATTTTCTTGGTTTTCTTGCTGCGTTATCATTGCTGTTCTTAAAATTATTTTGCACATTTGTATAAATTTTAAGAAAACCTGTAAACAGGTTTTAAAATATGCTGCATTCCTTGGCATTTACCATACAGATGTTAAGAGCTCTTAAGGCAATATGGTGTGGCCGGGAAGAACACAGGTTTGGAGCCGGAACATACTGGATTCTAATCTAGACCCTGCCACGTGCTAGCTCAGATACGTCACCCCTTTAGTTGAGCCTGAGCTTTCTTTCCGGTGACACCCTAGTAACAGCAGCACATGTACACAGGCCGGGAGCATGCAATTGTACAGCACTGAGCACAGGGCCTTCAGTGCATGTTAGCTATTCCCATTATTGCTTAGGGTTATTCTTTCTTCTTCCTTGTGGATTGTTTGCAGGGAGATTGAATGAAGCTTTAGAAAAAAATATGCCTTAAAGATGTGAATGTAACCAAGAAGAAAGACATCTCAAACCTTTAGAGCAGTGGTTCTCAAAATGAGAGCACAGGTGGCACCACCGGCCTCACAGGAACATGTTAGACGTGCTGAGGTTGGGCCCGCCCGGCCCTGCTGCCTCAATGCTCTGGATTCTAACAGTCTTGCCAGATGATGCAGATGTGCTAAAGTCATAACTGCAGCTTTGCCCTGGTGCTTCGCAGTCCTGGCCCACACTGGAATCATCTGGAGAAAAATTACTGGTGCCTGGGCCCCACCCCCAGAAATTCCTATTTAATAATTCTAGGTGGGTCCCGGCACCAATACTTTTTAAAAACTCCCCAGCTGGGTTTATCGGACAACCCAGCTTGCGGGCACTGCCCAGGCCACATCTGTACCACTTCAACCAGAATTTCTGGGGTGGGATACAGGCATCAGTATTTTATAACTGCCCTGGATAATTCCACTGTGAACTCAGGGTTAAAAGTCAGCTTTAGCACCTATATTAATCCCGAAGGTTTCTCTCTCTGAGTAGCAGACACGATAGAACCCCTCCTGGCTGCAATGTAGAGTGATGAATTAGACCAGGGGTGGGCAAACTTTTTGACTCGAGGGCCACAGTGGGTTCTTAAACTGGACCGGAGGGCCGGAACAAAAGCATGGATGGAGTGTTTGTGTGAACTAATATAAATTCAAAGTAAACATCATTACATAAAAGGGTACAGTCTTTTTTTTTTTTTTAGTTTTATTCATTTCAAACGGGCCGGATTCGGCCCGCGGGCCGTAGTTTGCCCACGGCTGAATTAGACAGATGTTAAGCTGAGCATTAGGAATACACCAGTACCTCTCCCAACACCACCTGTGTCTGGGTCTCCAGTAAAAAGTGGCCTAAAGATTGGAAATCCTGTGAAGTTCACCAAATTATTGCTGACTCAACCAACCTTCATTATTTCATACTCTTTTTTTTGCTTCCTAGGAGATCTCATTCACTTACTTAATTATTCAGTCAGTCATTGGACAAAATGCTTTCTGGAGCTTACAAGGGCTGTCAAACGTTCTCAATAAGTGTAGTGTCAGGAGCCCGTCTGTCTAACTTGAGATGGCAGAAGGGGCTTATTCATAAGCATTTGAATTCATCACACACGTGGCGATTCCAATTTCAGGCGAACAGGGGCCACCTGCAGATTTGGATGCCTGCCCCCGAATCCCGGGGCTTCCTGGGGTACCAGGCCCAAGAGGACCAGAAGGAGCCATGGGGCCCCCCGGAAGGAGAGGCCCTCCAGGAGCAGGTAGGAGCCTGACACTGATTGTTCATTATTGGTATATACATATTGCTGATATGAAAACCCAGTGTTTTGCCATGTAGGGTTTGTTTGTTTGTTTGTTTGTTTTTGAGCCTAAACAACAAGTGAGGATGAAGTGATGAAAATTTCCTTCCCCTTGTATATTTTTTTCTACATTTATTCCAAGGCTTAATCATATACTAACTGGATCGTCTTGCCCCTTCCATTTCTATGTTGAAATCTACTTAAGTCTTCTATATTTGGGCAGCTTGTGGACATGAGGTTTTGAAACTTCTTAGCACAACAGAGTAGATGCTCTGTTCAATGTCATTAATAGCTGCTGACTTGATTTTTCAATGAAGAACAACTGAATTTGGGCTCCCTGGAGCAGAAACAGTGTACAAGCAGGGAGAAGGAGGTGGGTCCTTGGAGGAGCAAGAGGGAGAGATGAGGGAGGTTCACTCTAATTATGGCAATGACTGCATTATTTATTTAATTGATTTGAGCATTGCTCAGTCCTTGTCAGGGTAGCAGGATCCTTCTTTAAGGATTTAAACTAAACCATTTCTTTGAAAAGTATCCTCCAAATCATTTATTTTCTCTTCTCATATCTCCACTGCATTGGGCAATTTACTTAGTGGTTAGGGAGTCTGGGCTGGTCCTCTGGTGGTCACTGATCTTTTCGGACCAATCGGCAGTGCCCCTGATTCTAGAAACCTGTGTGCAAATGATCCTAAGAGACACAAGGCTATTACAATCTCATTTCCCCCACTTGTACTTGCTGTGCTGCATCTGTGTTTGTGCACCAAGTTAACTGGTGTCCACTGGAGCCACTTTCACTGACAGCCCACAAGCCCTGGGAATTGGCAGTCGCTTCCCCTCTTTGCTTTGGCTCTCAGCACAAGGATAAAGCTCTTAGTCAGGCAGGGCAACTCATCTCTCAAACTGCTTTTAAAACCAAGCTACCTTGTTGTATATATATTTGCAGAAATGAGAGCTGTCCCCCAAAATTTACAAAATAACTTCCAAGCAAAAGGTATAGCCTATAATGTGATTCTACAAATTCAGTTCACATAATGCTTCCAGACTCTTTCTACTCTTCAGAAAGTAGTAGGTGTGGGCAGTACAGATGTGGGTAAGATGTTCTTTCCTGCCCCCACCCCAGGGTCTCACAGCCTCAGGGCAGACATGGCCAGCAGAGCATAAGTCATGCTCAATGATGGGAGATAATAATTTGTGTTTTACAGGAGTTTCAAGGAAAAGGCATTATGAGAGTGATACCAGGAGTGGTGAATCCTGTGTGGAGATTGTAGAACTGCTAAGACCCCAGCAAGGGGTGGCATTTGAGCGGAGCCTTTGAGAAAAGATTGGGCTTAGAGGAACCAGAATTGTCCAACAGGGAGACGCAGGAGCACAGATGGGGGCAGGTTGGCCTAATAACCTGGTAACAAAGAGCCAGCTCCATCCTTTCCACTCAAAGTATGGTCACGCCCCAGACCTACTGAATTACTGGTAGAATCTGAATTTTAACAAGATCTCCAAATATTGCAAGTATGTTCAAGTTTGAGAAACCCTAACTATATTATATGAATGCTGTCCTTAAAATTCAGTTAAGAGTAACACCTTCCCTTGTGGCTCAGTCCTAGCTGTAGGTTAAAGTCACCTACAGGGGCTTGCAAAAGGCTGATGTCTGGGCCTCATCCCAGACCAATAAAATGCAGAGGGAAGCAGAGCCCAAGTGTCAGGGTTTTAAGGGAAGCTCCCCAGATGGCCGTGGCAGGCAGCCAAGGTTGAGACCCACTGCTTCATGGTGGCTTTGGAAAATAACCAAGGAAAGTAACCGAGAAGAAAAAAAATCATCTGGGCAAATTCTGTACACTTTAACTTAGTAGCGATCTTGGGCACATACAAGATTCTCTCTTCATAGTGAGCTTCTGACAGAGGCCAACAGCCTCTGGGCCCAGGTGTGCTCACCTGTCATCTCCAATTCCTCCCGACATAGGGTTGGATGGGCTCATCCAGCTGCAGGTGGCCACAGAGGTCCTTCTCTGGCTTCCTGTGCGCATCCCTTATTGATGCCACCGACCCTGCCTGCTGGCCGGGGAATACCCCGAGGCCACAGTTGTGCCACAGAATGTGATGATGTTAAATCAGGGCCCCACTTCATAGCCCAGCTTCCTCCTGTGTACCCACTTACAAGCCATGCTTTCTTCTGGGCTCCCCTTCTTTGATGGGTGCCCCTGGCCACTATTATAAAGGACCCCTCTTTTCCTTGGCCCCCTCTTCCTCTTCTTCCTGCTAACCACCCTGGATCCATTGGCCATACTGTCCAGTTGCTAAAAAGTGAGGAGTCTATTCTGAGGGTCTGAAGTGGCCCAGCCCTGACTGAACTGGGTCATCTGCAGGTGGGAGGGGCTGGAAACACCCCCCCCCCACACACACACACACACAAGGTTGGCTGTGAAGGATCAGCTGCCACTAGGAAGTCCCACCTCTGCTTAAAATGACATTGTTAGTTTCCTCCCATTTTCCCTTCAAAATCTTTCTCATTGCTGAGCTGATGAAACCAGGCACATAACCAAGTGTTGCAGCTGAGATCTACATAGGAAAAAGCCTGCCTGCTCTTTCCTGCTCCAGTGAGCGTGGGTCACAGCCACACTCAGCATCACTCAGGTCTGTTAAGGGGCCTCCACCACGGAAAGTCTAGTGCTTTTCTCTTCACACGTCTCTGATCTACAGCTTCTCCTTCCCGGTGGCTTCAAAGGCTGAGGCTCCCGGTGACAAATGCCAGGCGGTTTCCATTGTGGTTGGAGCTGTTACTGCCTAATGGACGTGCCCACATCCTGTTGAGGTGTGTTTCTCTTCAAGTCACATGGGACCCTCTCAGCGGAGGTAATCCGTTGAACACTGGAGGGCTCTCAGATGTCATTTTATTTTTTAAAGCAAGTTCCAGGTAGAGAATAAGTCCAGGTAGTGGGAAGCTCTGGGCACACAACTCGGGCTAGCAAAAGCCTTCCTTCCCGTCTTCGGAAATGTCACCCACCTGACTATTACTCCCTAATGGGAGCAAAGCCACATGATAATGTCTGGTGAGAGAACTCTTCTCCCAGATCCACAGAGATCTCACCCACTCGACAGCTCAGGGGGACGCCCTTGATCTCTTCCATGAGAAGCCTGGTCACTGGCTTGTCTTATCAGCACATGGGCAGCCCCTTCCAGAGAGCACAGTGGCCACTTGTTGGAGTCATCTCGTTGGGTGGAGAGAGAAAGGATGCTCTGAGTTCAATAGGGTTAGTGTTAGGGTTAGGGCCCTGTGTTCCCCCCACCCCCCTGCAATAACAGATATGTTCTTTGAAGATAGCTGATTTGTGGCAGAGAGAGAAGACAGAGAAGGAGAGAGGGAGAGAGAAGAAAAGAGAGGGAGAAAGGTAGGGAGGTAGAGAGGTTGAGAGAGAACGAGAGGGAGAGGAAAAGAAGAAGGGAGAATAATAACTAAAGACTGGAAGCCTTGAGACGGCTAGTAAATTGGGGAACTAGGGCTATTGGCAATACACTGCTTCACAGCAGGGACCACGTCTGCTACTCTGAGCGAAGGGCATTGTGGCAGTGAACTGATGTCTTGGCCCAAAGTAAGCAAACACTGAAAGAACCCTTCGAGTACCAATGTGACCGTGCCTGGTCCCCCAGCGCACACCCGCCAAGGAGTGCACCTGAGCTCTGTGCCTTGTCATGAAGCAGGTGGCTGAGGCACAGCCTCTGGACTCGGCCAACCTGGGCCCCTTTCCCGTCCACGTGTGACCGGCTCTGCAGCAGGTCTGAGCCTCAGTCTCCCCACCGGTAGTCCGGCACATGAGAGAACCTGGGCGCATGGCTGCTGTCAAGGCTGAATGAGATCATCCACCTAACAGGATTGTTGTGGTGCTTAGCACTTTATAAACACTCAAAAAAGCCTATGCAAAAAAATCGCTGTTCTTATCTGGCTCCAAATTTAACTTGACCTCTAGCTGAATCCTATTAAATTTATTCATTCCTTCATCCTGGCTTTTAAAAAAATCAGTATTAGGATAATATTTAATGGGAAAACCCATACATGTTTAATGTAAAAAAATAAAAGGTCAGATATATAAGAATATGAAGAACATGTGAAAACCTCTCAACACGCCCTGGTCTGGCTTCAGATCCTGCCTCTGCCCCTTATTGGCTCTTTGGCCTTGACTAGCAAGTTGATTGGCCTCTCAGAGCCTCAGTCACCCCAGTGCCAAGTGGAGACAGTATTCACTGGAGGGTGAAATGAGCTGTGCAGTTCAGGTGGAACAGGTGTACGCACAGCCAGTGCTGCGGCCAGCAGGTGTCACACGGCCTCACACTGCCATCGTGACCTTTGTGCAGGGTGCAAAGGAGAGCCCGGGCTGGACGGCAGGAGGGGCGAGGATGGCATCCCAGGGCCTCCTGGGCCTCCGGGACACAGAGGTGACACGGGAGAAGCCGGCTGCCCTGGAGCACCAGGTAAAGAGTTTCAGTTTCTTGTCTTTCCTCTGACAAGCAGATCTGAGAACTGGGTACGGGATCCCCAGCTTTCCAAGCTGATCTGTGAAAAGCATTGGCCTTAGACACCAACTCACCAGGTGTCAGGGAGATGGAAACAGCAAGAACAAACCAGGCGGTATCCCCACGTTCTGACTCTCACCCACCCTACAAAGGAGTCAAGGCCCTGTCTCCAGTCCAGTCTTTTCCCAAAGCACTGCACCTTATCACAAGAGGCCCAGCCATCTCAGAGGCCCCATGTGCCAAGGCAAGCCTGGCATCTGCCATGTGACCACCTTTGAGAGGCTGTGCTGAGGATCCTGGGATGATGGAGGGTTCTCACCCTCGATTCACCTGACCTCTGGTTTTCTGAGTTCACTTCATCTGAGTGTACAGCCATCGGTAAATGTATAATAGCATGCACGGCTCCTTCCTAAGGAAAACGTTTGGGAGTGGGCATTGTGTGAGGGGAGAGAAAAGACTCTTCTGGACAGAAATGTGAAATATAAGGCACCAGGATAAATGTTAGCCTCCAGGGACCTAAAGACCAGGCATCTGCCATGTGACCACCTTTGAGAGGCTGTGCTGAGGATCCTGGGATGATGGAGGGTTCTCACCCTCGATTCACCTGACCTCTGGTTTTCTGAGTTCACTTCATCTGAGTGTACAGCCATCGGTAAATGTATAATAGCACGCACGGCTCCTTCCTAAGGAAAACGTTTGGGAGTGGGTATTGTGTGAGGGGAGAGAGAAGACTCTTCTGGACAGAAATGTGAAATATAGGCACCAGGATAAATGTTGGGCTCCAGGGACCTAAAGATCGCAGGGGTGAGGAGGGCTGGGCGGGCTCTGCAACCAGAAGGAGCTCCGCCTGAAGCCACAGCTCAGCCTGGGCCTGTGGTTGCCATGTGGACATGCAGCCCGCTGTCCCCTACACTCTGCTTTTCAAGCCCAAGACCTCACCTTTGAAACCCTGATGGGTCAAACAAAACCCGGGAGCAGGCCTGATCCAGTCCACAGCTACGACTTTGCAAACTCTGGTGTGCAGTGCAAATGGCTCGGAGAGACTGAGGTTCTTCCAGAAACAAGTTAAAACAAAAGCCTTTTGGTTGTAAAGTCAAACTTCCCCTTTTGCTCTTGGCAATTAGAAATCACCATAGGCTTCTTCAGTTGGTCAGTCCCTGAGGGATGCCAGAGGGGACAGGCCCTGCTTGCATGCTGCAGGCCTCATTATTTCCACCTGCCACTGAGAATTTTGGAACTAGGCCTTCCTCCCACATCCCCCCTTATAAAAGACTTGCTCTTGGCAATTAGAAATCACCATAGGCTTCTTCAGTCGGTCAGTCCCTGAGGGATGCCAGAGGGGACAGGTCCTGCTCGCATGCTGCAGGCCTCATTATTTCCCACCTGCCACTGAGAATTTTGGAACTAAGCCTTCCTGCCACCTCCCCCCTTATAAAAGATCAGAAGTCCAACATGTGGCTCCCAAGCCTTTGTCCTTCTTAGAATGGGCCTGACACTATGCCAGAACCACGAGACAGGTTCTGGGAGTTGGGAAAGACCAACTACCCCCCGCCCCCAAATATAAGCTAAAGTATATTTAGAAAGTCACAGAATGTGAGCAGTGAGAAAGTGAGCCAGCTGGGCTGCATGGGCGCAGGAAACAAGTTAAAGAGGCAAAAGAAGGACCGTTGGAGCTTAGGAGAAAGCAAAGAAACACACATGCCTAAAGGGAGAATGTGCAGATATAAGCTAAAGTATATTTAGAAAGTCACAGAATGTGAGCAGTGAGAAAGTGAGCCAGCTGGGCTGCATGGGCGCAGGAAACAAGTTAAAGAGGCAAAAGAAGTGACACGGGAGAAGCCGGCTGAGCAAGTTGTTGGAGCTTAGGAGAAAGCAAAGAGGCACACATGCTGAAAGGGAGAAGGTGCAGGCCCCTCTAGAGAGAGCGCAAGAGCAGGCCCGGGAGACCAACTTTGAGAACCACCTTTTTGGCCGGGCAGGTGCCCTGTCCAGGCTGGAACAGCTGGAAGATCACAGGTCGCGACCCACAGGTTGAGAATCGCTGCTCTAGAGAGAGAGAGTGTGAGAGCAGGCCAGGGAGACCAACTTTGAGAACTACCTTTTTGGCCGGGCAGGTGCCCGGTCCAGGCTGGAACAGCTGGAAGATCACACATAGGTGTGCCATTACCCTGTTCTAGTTCTTTCTCAGCACCCATCACTTTCTAACATATTTCACACTTTATCTCTTTATATTGTGTATTGTTTGTCATTTCTTCAGGTAGAGTGTAAGCGCTAGGAGGGCAGGGGGTTTTGTCTGTTTTGTTTTTATGCTAACATAGCCCAATGCCTGGAGGTTGCTTGGAGTAAATGCTGGCTGAGTGAGCAGTGTGTACAGATTGCAGGGGTGTGAGGGAGCACTCCTGCAGTGGGCCCTGCTGTGCTCCTCTCTCTGGTCTGAGTGCGTAGCGATGCACCAGACAGAGGTGCTCAGAAATGTTTGTGAAACTGACCCCCCTAAATGGCCTTCATTTTTTTCCTTTATTCCTCCAGGCCCTCCTGGGCCCATTGGGGATCCTGGGCCCAAAGGGGTCGGCCCTGGATACCTCAGTGGCTTCCTCCTGGTTCTCCACAGTCAGACGGATGGAGAGCCCACCTGCCCCATGGGCATGCCCAGGCTCTGGACAGGCTACAGTCTGCTCTACGTGGAAGGACAGGAGAGAGCACACAATCAGGACCTCGGTACGTACAGAGCACTGGATGCCCAAGTGCATTGCCTAAAAGTAAAACTGTTGGGTTAATTTTATGAATTCAAAAACATCAAGTGATTACTCATCTTCTTTGGGATTTTTTTCTCTATTTATACTACCATGTTAATTCTCAGTGAAGGCTATTAAATCTGTGATCCTGTGACGTGCCAAAGGGATCATTCCAGCTACCGTTATTATTATCTGGCTGGTTATTAGTTTTTAAAAACTTATACTTAGTGAGTTGTAACTCTGATATAAAAGGGGATTTTTCACTTCCCAGTGTAAATTATTTGAATGTAAATGGTGTATTGGCAGCATCCCGATGCTTACATGGTGTGGTGTTCACCGGCATCAACTCCCCGCCCACTCCCACTGAGTTTGAAACATCCTTGGTACTACTTGTCAGTTTTCAATAGCAGATTTGTGAGACTGACTTCAAGCCAAGAGTTAGGCACCCGGGTGCTGGCAAACACTGTCATTCCCAGATAATGAAGGTTGGGGTGGGGGGTACAGGAGGGAGATGCCTGCAGGGATGGGTGATGGTGGGGTGAGTTTTATCACTGCTTTCACTGGGCCTGACCCCTCAGTGGGCTATTATGGTCAAAGGGTGCAGGCCTGGAGGTGGCAGCTACTGACATGTCCCTCTCCACCTCTCCCTGGGGTTCAGCCATGGCCTTTCCCATCAGAGGGGCCAGGGGAGAGGAAGTACATTCATATCTGACTGTGTTTGCTTCTCTTCTCTCCTTTTTGCCGCCAGTCTTTCTTGCCTGGCCTCGCCAGCAATCTCACTTCTCTGTCCTGGTCGAGCCAGAGCGCACATCACAAAGCTCTGCAGAGCTATTGGGAGAAAATCCAAACCCCTTAACCAGACAGACACAGCCCACATGCTGTCTGGTTGACCTCTGGTTGAGAGAGACACACACACAGACCTCCTCTCCCACCTCTCCGCCCTGAACGTCTGAGATCCCCGAGCTCCATGCTCCCTCAGTATCTTGACCCTGTTTACTCTGCATCTTCTTTGAATAGTCTTCACCATCTCCTAACCTTCGTCTTTCAGGTCCTAGCTTCAATCTGGTTAGCCTTCCCTAAGTCCTGGCCACAGTTCTCATCCATAGGGCTGGTCACGCTGCATTTTCATGGCCTGTGTGCTCCTCCAGCCTCCCACCAGGCCAGGCCAGGAGCCTGGGGAAGAGAGGGGTGCTTGTGGCTCTTCCTCCCGCACCTGGCTGCGTGCTCGGCTCAGGAGTGATGCGTGGCTGTGGGAATGAGGGCTGGCCCACGGGACCAGGGAGGTGGCAGAAATGGTCAGGCCCATAGCCACTTTCGCCAGCACAGAAATAGACTGTCCAGGGCCTCCGTGTGCCCAGACCATATGTCTATACACGGCACATGCAGGAGGGTCGCTGGGCACGCCGGGACAGGTGGCTCAGATGCCAAGCTGTCTCTTCTCTTTCCCAAGGTCTGGCGGGGTCTTGCCTCCCAGTGTTTAGCACACTGCCCTTTGCCTACTGCAACATCCACCAAGTGTGCCACTACGCCCGGAGAAACGACAGGTCCTACTGGCTGGCCAGCGCCGCGCCCCTGCCCATGACGCCGCTGTCCGAGGAGGACATCCGCCCCTACTCAGCCGCTG